CTCCCAAGTGCTGGGATTAAAGGCGTGCGCCACCATGCCCGGCTTCAAGAGAATTCATGTAGGACTTCCCAGGCAGTTTGAATCGTCTACAGTAGTAGCAACTTTTCCTAGCCATGTGTGATGACACAATTAGAAGGCAACTTCCAGGGCATGTGAACAAGCTCATTAGGGAAGCTTTAAGGGAAGACATAAAAATAGCAATTGTACATATTTATGGTGTACAAGATGATTTTTTTTTGGTCTTTTTGAGACAGGGTCTCCCTGTAGCCCCCCAGCTGGCCTGGAACTCATTATGTAGACCAGGCTGGCCTTGAACTCACAGAGATTTGCCTGCCTCTGTTTTTAAAAAGTACTTTGTTATTTTTATGTTATGTGTATGAGTGTATTACCTGCATGTATGTAAGTGCATCTGTGCCATGCAATGCCTGCAGGGGTCAGAAGAAGGTGTCAGATCCCCTAGAATAGGAGTTACAGATAGTTGCCAGCCACCATATGGGTGTTGGGAATTGAGACTGGGTTCTCAGTGGTCTTAACTGCTGAATCCCTAAGATAATTTGATATTTGCATATATTGTGAATTGATTAAAAACTGGAGAATCTTTTTTTTTTCTTTTTGAGATAGGGTTTCTCTGCAGTCACAGCTGGCCTGGAACACGCTATGTAGACCAGGTTGGCCTCCATCTCACAGAGATCTGCCTGCCTCTCCCTCTCTAGTGCTGGGATTAAAGGTGTGCACCACCACTATTGGCTTAAAAGCTGGGGGGGGGGTCTTTTAAAGGCTGAAAACTAGGAGTCTTGGTAGTCAAGGAGCTGTAGAGACATCATCTTGGCTTCTTGCCTTTCATGAGGGTTAGATGACCTAGAAAACCAAAGCCAGACAAAACCAAATAACTGATCCCCATGACTCACAGTGTGCAGAGTCAGGAAAGCCTGTATAAGCTTCTCAGATGGCAGAAAGCTAAACCCAGTTCTCTTCTTGCTGGTCAACGGACAGCCTGTTTCCACACTGGGTCAGAGTTTGCTGAATCATGTTGGTTTGGTGCAGGGGTAGGGAGGGACTTTATCTAGGCCAGTGTTCCCACATATGTTCATTAGCTCAGGAAGCTGATTCGTTATGTCTAGAGGGACCTGGAATGCATATTTGGATCTTGACCCTAGGGCATGGGCAAGGAGGTTCATCGTAGAAGTGGGTGGGTGAGGGTGGAGGTAGGAAAGTGGTGTGTGTGTGTGTGTGTGTGTGTGTGTGTGTGTGTGTCTGTATGTGTCTCTGTGTGTGTATGTATGTATGAATTGTTTAGTGGCTATACTATTAGTGATATATGAAAGAAAATGGGGTGGATTTGGTGCCCAGTTAGGTACGATGAAGAAACATGTAAATGAGATTGAGGGGCTGGAGAGATGGCTCAACGGTGAAGAGCACTGTCTACTCTTTCAGAGGACCCAGGTTCAGTTCCCAGCATCCATATGGCCACTAACAACTCCAGTTCTAGGGGATCTGACGCCCTCTTCTGGCCTCCGAGGGCATTGCACGCATGGGTGTACTTACATACACGCAGGGAAAACACTAGTGCACGTAAAACACAATAAAATAAATAAAATGGAAAGAGCATGGGAACACATATTGTAACTAGCATACTTGAAGTCTACCCGGCTCTGTATGCAAATGCAGGCAAAAGGAAAGCGACTAGACAGAGGCGTTCTATAGAGTACTGAGCAGTCACTGAAAGCAAAGGATGGACTCAGACATTGTGATGTAGCTGCATTCCTAAACCAGCTTAGAGTCCTCCCTAAACCAGCTTAGAGTCCTCAAAGCAGACGACAGAACAGGCTTTGCTGTGGAACACCATCGCGTTTATGTACCTGGAACACACTGTGCATAGGGATGCACACAGGTTTTCAGGGCAGAGATTGAGCATGAGGTTTTGGAAGAAGGCTAAAACTTGCATGGACTGAGGACTCAGGCTCAGTGCTGAGGAGCAGGACTGTGCTAAGTTTCATGTTCTGGGAACTTATTCCTGGACGCCACATGGTATTTGAAGTGGGGCCTTTGGAAGGTAATTGGATGGGTGGGGTAGAGTCCCCTTGATGAGACTGCAAGCCTTTTAAGAAGAGTGAGGCTTGGGCTGACATGTCTCCTCTGGCCACACTGTACTCTCTGCCAAGTGGCACAGCCAAACGACCCTCCCCAGATGCCAGCAGCACTTGCGCCATCTCTGGACTTCCCACGCCCCAGAGCTAGGAGTCAGATAAGCTCACATTCTTTGTAACGTGCCACAGTTTGTTGTTTCCAGTTATAGCAACAGAAACCAAAGACAATGTCTGACTTTTCACATTCAGCCTTTGAGGTGGGAGAGAGAGCGAGAAAAGACTGGGAACGGCATAGGGAAGTGGTCCAACTGGAACAGAGCTGAGTAAAAGTTGGTCCTTTGATGCTCCAACCTTATCTAACAGAGACGACGGACATGAGGAAATGAACCCCCAGCCTTCCTCTTTAGCTCCCCCTCCTTTAAGCTAACCACCAGGAACCCACTTTCCAATTGTTTAAGCACGTTCATGGCGTCACTCGGTTGAGACTTGTGGTAGAGGCCCACATTGTTTTATCCTGTCATATGCACGGTCATCTTTTCTTGGGCATTTTGTCTTGTTTTTCAATGTGCTAATTAAACAGGTTCAGCATTTTTGTTTATCATAGATTTTCTGAATATTTACTATGTGCAAAATCCTGTGCCAAGTGCTTTATCTGAATCTCATATTTAATCTGCATCAGTGAAACCTGTTCCTAGTTTCTACATTACCACAAAATAGGGAGACTTGTGTATCTTTGCACACAATGGTTAAATGGAACACTCCATGAGTGTTTCATTTCACAAATGTGATACATTTGTGATACATTTCACAAATGTATCACTTTGATTAGAGCAATCACCATCCCATCAACGGGCTAACTAGACTCTTTGCATGTGGTTTTCAAGTAAAGAGGAAATGGGAACAATCACCATCCCATCAAAGGTGTATATATACTTTATATATGACGGGCTAACTAGACTCTTTGCATGTGGTTTTCAAGTAAAGAGGAAATGGGACTGGAGAGATGGCTCCATGGTTAAGAGCACCGGCTGGTCTTGCAGAGGACCCGATGTCCTCTCTTCCATCTTCCTCGTGCCCAGGTGCCCTTACACACATGCAGGTATAACACTCATACGCATAGAAAAAAATAAATTTTTTTTTTTAAGAAGAGAAAACAAAAAGATCAGAAGCAGATGAAATTCCTTCCTCTTGGACTAGAACGTCTCACCATTTCCATCTTTGACGCAGAAGATACTCAGAGCTTAATAAACAGCCCTTTCATGGGCGGCATTCAGACAACTCTCTTTTCATGTAGTTTCCAATGAGTGTGTGTCAAGATGCTCTGTTCTGTGCCAACGGTGAGCATCAGGAGTGGGTGGCAGGCAAGTCATTCTACGACGGTTGCCCATGTTCATGCCACACTTTATGTCTGTGGATACACGGCTGTGGGACTGCTTGGGTTCCACAGGAATTATTCATAACTTGTTTCCATCTATTTTAAAAGACACTCTGTAAATACCTAACCAATGAGTACCTGCACATTAACCCAGCGAAAACACTGTGCATCTAAATGTCCTCTCTGTAGAGAGTGGAATGTGCAGATATAGCCAAATTCAACAGGACTCAACAGGATTGCTTCTCTGAGAGAATCGCTTTCCAGGGTACCAGGGTTGCTACGTGAGTACCTTCCCTTCCAAATCAAAGTCTTTCCTGTTGTACATAAGACTTTTTAATTGGAAATTCAAGAAGGCAAAGTCTTAGGAAATCAATTAAGTTTTGAGATAAGTGGTCATTCCATAAATTAGAACTTTGAAAGAAAATACATCCATGGCCTAGGTGCCTAATTCAACTTCCTCGGCTTTTGCCAACCACTCCTGCCCACATTCTTTCTTTTGAAAACGGCCTAAGCCTTTTGTTTTTCCTCTGCTGTGCTGCTTTTGCTTACAGTTACACACAAGAATAAATATGACACGGACACATTCTCCATGACTAACTTTTACCTCTACAACCTTTAGGCAGTGGTTACATCCTTTTAGAAAAAAAATTATTGCTGCTTGTGTGCCAGTATCTAGTTACGAGATTACATACGAAAAAGTACTTCAAGAAAAAGGCCGGTGAATCCTCTGCTTGAGAAGTGCTTGCTTCAGAAATGCTACAATTCGTTCTATTTAGTCAGTGTCACAGACAACTTCTATCATACAACAGAAGCAAGTGTGAAAGAAATCTTGGGACTTTTGCATTTGTGTGTGCACAATTAAAATGCGTGAGCTCCCTCTAGACCAGTTGGACCTGTGATTCCCCAAATGCCTCTATGGGTGTGTGTGAAATCCGTGAAGCTTTTCCAGGGTCCTAGGAGCAGCTTCGAGCAGGCCTTTGTACAGGTGACAACTCCACGAGCACGCTTGTGTGCAAGGTGCCACATTTGGGATCCTGGAAAGATGTGGGCAATCGCATCGTTTTCCACAGTTGCTTCTTACAGAGGTCAGTGCTTTCCCACAGAGAGCTCAGCCCCTCTGTGAGGTTTCATCAAACACTTTGCTCCTTTCTAAGCTTCGGTGAGCTTAGAAGCCCAGAGTTGTGGAGAGTCTCCCAGTCTTTCTCGGACCTGCGGGGTCCTCCCCATTAAGGGCACCTTTCCAGAACCTCTACTTCATTGCTGCCAGAATTTTCCAAACTCAGGTTTCAACCATTCCAATAGGCTAGAGATGCCATACCCTGACTCCCCAAGGCTGCACCACGCTAAATGCAAAGAGGCAAACATGTCATTTCCGGGGCATTGGGACCTCTGCTGAAAACATGAAACGAGAGGTGATCAGTCAACCTGCTTTGTTAGTTCAACACACAAAGGCCCTGGCACTCAGCACCTTTAGGCGTTGATAATTTTAAGAAGGCTATTGAGACGTGGTAACGGTCCTTGAGGCAAAGCTAGAGGCATTCATTAGCTAAACAATTTTATTGGCTTTTTGTGAAATTAAAAACATGAAACCAACCACCACGGTTAAAGGCCATAATCAGCATCAACCAAATGAACCAGCCACTTGGCTCCGGCAGCTGATCACAACACAAGTGGATATTATTGCTTATGCCCCACGCTCATGTATGTGTCCAGTACGTTTTGGCAAGAGTACAATCAAACGGAGCTTTGGTTGTCTAAATTCAGCTAGGACTACTCACTGAAGACGCAACCTCTAGGATTTTAAGGTGAGATACATGCCAGTTCTCCCTGAGTCTTGACACACATCCTTTCATCCTGCCTGCCTGTCTCCTTCCATTAGTGATTTACGGCCCTATTAACAATATGATCGGGGAGGGCTTATCAGCATCCCTCCTCCACTGCTCCCACGAGAGAGGGTGTTATGTTTCTGTGTCTCTCCAAGCTCTTGCATCAGTTACATTCCAGAAATAAATGACCCCCACCCCCACCCCCAACAATCTACATAGATTTTTCAAATGCATATGGCATTTGGAGTTTAGACTCAACTGTCTCTTTTCCATCTTCAGTAAAAGTAGAAAACAAAAACAAAGAAAAAAAATCAATAGCCCTTAGCATAAAGTGACCTCCTAAAAGGATGAGCTCAGGTGCCCAGCATACAACATCCACTGGCTGCTATGGAGCTCTTCCAAAGTTGTGTATCTGTGTGTGTGCGTGTGCGTGTGCATGTGTGTGTGTCTGTGTACTGTAACATTTCAATCTGTAGAGAAACAATGCTAATCAGTGCCTCTTCAGAGCTCCCCAGCTCTCTACATTGTAACACTGAAGATACTGAAGGACACCAGCTCAGAACCAATTCACAATAGCACCCGTTTCCTAGACTCTAGGGATCTGACTCCCTTTGCTGTCCAGCAAGGCAGGGCCCAGGCCTCCAGCTTTGTGTTTCCATCGGCCCCAGGCTGCAGGAGTAGGGGGTCTGCCTTGGCCTACTTCATTGGTGACCTGAATTTTTCCCTGGGAAGATTTAAAAAGTGTGTCTTACAAAGTGAGGTTGGCCCCAGGTGAGAGATGACAGGCTTGTAGATGGCAGAGGGTTTCCCTGCAGAAGCCAGGCGGGATCACAGAACACTGAGAGCCACCAACTCTGACAGCCATCCAGACAGCAGGACTCTAACACTGTCTTAGGTACCCCAGTAGGCCAGTGAGTCTTGCCCTGGATAGTGCTGGGATTTAATAAGCCCTTTGAGTGATTATAAGGATTATCCTCTTGGATCTAGACATCTTAAACAACAGAATATTTGCTCTCACTATTATTTTACATGGCACCGATAACCATATAATTACTAGCACTTACACAGCAAATATTGTAAATACACATTCTTGGAGCGGAGATGGTAATTATACCGCTGTTCAGCAGAACAAAGATTAAGCACTTTCAACTTGCACTTGGGGGAGGATTTCAGTCCAACCCTTTACTTCACAACTAAAGGATAACCCTCTAATTATGTAATAATGCTCTCCGGTCATGTGGGCCAAGAATCACAGGGCAACTTCATGGTCAATTTGTGGCCGGTAAAATAAAGTAATACGTAGTATTTTCATTTCAACAAAATACAAGGGACCATATAAAAATATTTTCCAATTTGAATCTGAAATATGAAAGTTGGAGGTTTTTTTTTTCCTTTGTATAAAAAGAAACAAAATAACAGACTAAAGTATATTAAGCTTCCTAACCAAAAAAAGAAAGAAAAAAATAGGGGCGGGCTGAAGGAATGCGGCCAGTCCGTCAGTGCTCCCTTTGTGTCCAGGCCCACGATGGTGAGCTTGTGCTTTGACCCTGACAGAGATAAATGCACAGAAGTGGCAAGGTCAGTGCCTGAAACCGCACTGCTTCGAATGAGTTTACTATCGGGCCGTGGAGCGTGCTGTGAGGACGCTGCCTCTGTTCTTCCTCCTCAGGCGACGGCCGGAGATGAGTGCCAGAAACACCACTTTCTCCTCGAGTGATGCTTGTTCAGTGCCACGTCCTCCTTCTCCCGTTCCCGCTTCACCCGCTGGTAGTGATCTTCCTCTTTCAGGTACCACACGGGGGGCCAGCGGTGACGCTCAAAGTACTCCTGGTTATCTGGGGAGGGAACACGCCTGGCAATGATGGCGGCACCCACTGACTGTCCTGGGAGCCAAGGCCTACCTCGTGCTCCTTAAAATCCTCTCAACAGCCCGTAGGGCAGGAGCTATAACTTGGGCCATCTGCAGATGGTGATACTGGAGTTTGAGAGGTGGAATCTCGCCCTAGGGTCATTCAGCTGGGCACAGAGACCCTAAACCACTCAGTTTTTCAGAGCTTGCCTCCCTGGACCAGGGGAAGCCAACCACCCCAGCATGGGACAGCCTTAGTTCTAGAACCCCCATTTTTTTGTCTTTTTGAGACAGGGCCTCCTTGTAGTCCCAGCTGGCCTGGAACTCACTATGTAGACCAGGCTAGCCTTGAACTCCAGAGATCTGCCTGTCTCTGCCTCCTGAGTGTTAGATTTAAAGGCATGCTCCATCACGCCAGGCTAGAACCCTGTTCTCTAAGCAGGACATTCTACAAAGAGAACCTCTCCAACCTGTAATTCCTCGGGCCATGCAGCTTGAATATGTGGACTGAGGAACTGACCATGAGATGCCCACTGAGCCTGCTCCCTCTCTGGGTGCTGAAGGACACTTCTGTCACAGTTAGAGTGGATGAATGGGGACCTTGCATGCACATCCTTACCTGCTGATTTCGATTTGATTTCCTTTCGGAACTTGGAACAAACACTGTTGTAGTTGGTGCAGATGTGATGTAAACACCAGGCAGCCAGTTGGTTGGCATTGTGAAACTGCAGGAAAGTGATCAGAACGGGGTCAGACTCTTGTTTGATAAAACAGGGCTGGCGAGATGGATCAGAGGGTAAAGGTGCTTACTGCCAAGACTGATGCTTGATTCCCCAGGGCTCACATGGGAGAGAGACCTCCTACCTCCTCATGCCTAGTGGGGCCAGCAAATACCCTGCCCTCCCACATACACATAAACACATGCACACAAAATAAAGAAATGTAATAAAAATAAAGCAAAACTATAGAGAAATGGGGACTATTGTGGTGAAGGGGAACGAAGGGCCACAGTAGCAGTGCGGGAAGCCCTTTGACCTCAGGGTTTTGACCTTGACCAAGGCTCTGATGCCAACAAGTGCAGTGTTTGTATACTTTCCCTCCCCGCCTCCTGACACAGACAGGCCCAAAATAATCACCGTTATCACACTGGGAATAGAAAGTGTGCCTGGCTTTCCTGCCCTCCCCACCACCTGGCCCTCTGGTGACAGGTGACCATGCCCTCTAGAAGGCACCACCCAGCAGCAGACAGAAGAGATGTCATCTCTGGAAGGAGCCTCAGCAACGGAACACTTCGTGTCATATGTCACAGCTTAGCTTGCTGGGGCCAAAGATGGAAAGAGGAGACAGAGGCTCGTGTGGCTGTCCTGTACCTGGCCCCTGCTTACATAAGAGCAGCCATGTGGGTGGGGAGGTGGCAGCTGAGGTAGTGGTGACTGCCTGATGTCCCCAAACCAGATGACCACTCCCCCGTGCCTCCTCAGATCTGGCAGGAAACACCCACACATATTCATGCCCTTCTTAAACGTGTTCTTTGGCTAAGGGAGAACCTGAGACCCACAGTGCAGTTCCCCCTGAAGCTGTGTCTTCACCCCTGAAACGTCCAAGTCCTCCAAACCTACTCCAGGGACCCCAGAACCCATAGCCCTGATCACAAACACAAATGGAGGCTTGGGTGTGTCCATGTTCAGTTTGGTTCGGTGGGGTGAGCTTGCACCTGCCCAGGGAGCTGACAGTGTATCTAGTTTTCCCCCTCAGCTTGGTAACTCAGTCTCTGCAGTGTTAAAACTGGCTGCCTTGATAGAATTTACACCACAGACATGGGAAAGGGCAGCAGATCCGGGTCCCACTAATTGTGAAACTCTCTGGGTTAAAGGCTAACACAGGGGCTAAGACACAGATATGGCAACTTCCTGCCAGAGCTTGTCAGGGCTTAGTGGTAATTATATCACAGCCTGCAGGGTGTGTGTGGGAGGCTGGGGGAGGGGTGGCAAACAGATCGTTACTTTCAGTGACTTGTCCAGTAGGCATTCTGAGTCATTTCAATTTCCTCTAAGCAGGATACTTATGGACAGAGTCCAGTTATACATTGTTCCACAAATTGGGGGAGGGTATGTCTCAAGATCCTAAATTTCAAATTGTGAATACTAGTTCTGATGGGACCTTGGAAAGTCTACTGTAGCGTGTGTCTGTTCTCAGCTCTTTTCACAGTCTCCATAGGATGGGTTTTCACAGTGGGTCATCTGAACTTGTGTCTCTCTCCCCCACCTGCCTGGGACTGCCCCAAAGGTTATAATCTGCTGCTTGGATGTACTTGAGGGTAGTGCCTGGGGCTTGGGAGAAAACAACCAATATTTGTCCAATGTTAAGTCAGAGGGAATTGGCTGCTCTAGATTCCACCTTCTTCCCTTTGAACCTGAGCCATCTCCCATCCCACAGCTGCCTGGTCTGAGCACCACCTGCTGTATTACCACAGCCTCTCCCCAGGGCACCTCCTTTCCCTTGGTTGGGAAATATCCATTTAAATTGCCTGCCCTAAGACTTAGTGAGCACGGAGAGAACAAAGGAAGCCAAACTCAGTAGGCAGAAGGGAAAAAAAATGCTCAGAACCTATTGGTTATTCCGTGAGAGTATAAAGTCATGGTCGGTAAATCTATTCCAGGACTAGATCGGTCCGCAGTGTGAGGGCTTCCATTCTTCAGGGCCCTTTCTTGAACATTCTCCCTTGATTTGCTATCTGCAGGGTTGGAAGGTCCTGAATTACCACGCTCTGTTCTAAAGGATGAGGGGACTGAGGCACTTTAGTTTTGTGTCTTGAGGAGGATGGACCTCCTCTGGAAGGGTGCGTGCGTGTGTGTGTGTGTGTGTGTGTGTGTGTGTGTGTGTGTGTG